TTAGGTCTGTCCTTTTTTAACATGCTTTCCTCCTCCCTTTTCCTCCTTTTCGTCATCAGATAACCGTTCCGGAGTGTTCCAGATCCTGACTGTTACTGATAGTGGCATGTCTCCTTAAAGTACTCGTACGATTTGATATGTTCAAGAGGGTGTTGAGTCTGAGCAACCTGTTTTCCAAATATTCCGTCATAACCTGCCGTTCATCATCTGTCATAAGTTGCAGCAATACAGAATCGTTGCGTCTGCGTTGAAGGAGAGCCTCATTTAATATGGATATAACTTTGGGGGAGAATTTCGTTATGCTTAAGTCCATTCTGCCTTTTTTCATAGTGACTGGCACATTATGTTGCAACGCTATATGCATGACAGTCTGCAGCTCATGCGATGTCAAATCATCCACGTTGCTGTCCCACAACTGACAGTTGCATTCATTGCTGCAGTCACCAAGAGTATCAACATAGATACTTATATCGGGTGGCTGAAGGTAGTGCATCAGCTGCGTTTTGCTCAGAATTTGTGTGATTATCCGCAATGAATCATCCTCTTCATAGGGCTCTGTCTAAACATCCGTAGGATCAGCGACAAGCTCTGGTGTCACATGCAGACACACATTCATAGGCTCTGTTGGAGTCGGCTCTGTGCTATTTAACTGCCGCCAGGGAAAATTTTGGAGGGACTTGACCGTCATCTTGGAATCCTTATTGATCTCCAACTCCTGGCCCTCTGGCATTTTCGACACCTTGTTCTCCACGAATTTTTGCAACTTGATTGCCAGGCCGGCACAGGATTGCACTTTCCCTCTTCAACGAAAGCCAATTCTGATAGACAAGTTTGAGATCGAAAATCAGTTCATCTACATTTCGATAGCGCCGTTTCTGCACACGAATAATGATTGTGCCCAGGTCCATGGGATTTTTGAGTCCCGCAATATCTCGGTTTCTTCTGTCCATGGGCAGCATAAAAACTTGTGCATATTGCTTCATTGTTACCTTTTCGAGGATCTGCTTTTTGACATAGTGAATTTTATTGGTGTATGTACCGGTTGTAGGAGCCTACACATGTAACGACGGGGTATCGTGGGGGACACATATTAAATTTAAATGTACTCACAAAAAAGGTGTAGTCTTACCATTGCTTAAGAAGATTGATGTTATTGATTTTATTAGAGTTGATTGCAGAATCAAGTTATTCAGAATAAACTTTCTCGTATTTTTAGAGACCGAATCTTTTTTCACATCTTGCAAATTTTCGATTAAGCACTCAAAAAAATATGTCTGTCATTATGTCCTAGAGATGCGAAAGCAACGATTCGCTTCCAAGGCAACTCAACACAAAACAAAACACGATGTAAGCTTTTCCAACACTAGAACACATCGAATGGGGAATGGCTTCAACACTTGCTAAAAACTAGACGGATAAGTCCTTTCCATCCCTAGCAAAGATAATGAACAATCAAGTAGGGCTTTTAGCTATGATTTCTGAATTTAAAGTGTAATAACCGAATTGGAAAGGATGCTAAGGTCGAAAGGAAGGAGTAAAGCGGAAGAAGCTGTACATTTGGGCAATGAGGCAGCTTTTTATTTATTTTAATTAACAATTATCTGCAAATTCTGCGATGGTGTAAAGAGGGTAGGTTCAGTAGTTTTAGCCTAGATAGGTATGGTGGAAGGAGTCTGTTAGAGTCCCAGTTTAGATTTCTAAGGGCGAATATTAAAAATTGTTTTTGATCGGATTCAAAAATTATTTGTTGCTTCTTGTATTGTGGACTCCACACACAAGAACAATACTCCAATATCGGGCGAACCAAAGAGACGTACAGTGTTTTAGTTATATATGGATCGTCAAACTCTTTTGACCAACGCTTAATAAACGCAAGAACTCCCTTAGCTTTGTTAACAGTTGAAGCAATATGGCTATTAAAACATAGCTTGTGATCGAATAGGACTCCAAAGTCATTTGATGTGGAGATTCGATCCAGAGCATGGTGTCCTAGAGAATAGGAGACAAAATGTGGGGCACGGCGGTAAAAAGTCATAAGTTTGCACTTGGAATGGTTCAAGAAAAGTAGGTTATTCGAACACCAAATGCTTAATTCATCAAGGTCATGGCCAGGGATAAATTAAATAAGCAGGTCAAAGGATGAGATAGGGCTTTAGCGCAATATTTTAAAATACAGCTCGGAACTTTATCTGGACCCGCAGAGAAACAGATGTCAATTGATGAAAGCCATTGCTTCTGTCGTGAAAGAAGTTCCTTCCCTTCTTTGTGCAAAAATTGTACTCCATCTATCATACCTATTCCCCACCTCCTCAGTATTCATAGGTTCCTGTACGTCGATTGAAAGAAGGTGGCAAATAAATTTGAATTCCTTGATCTGAAGTTTCTGTTTTAGACTGTAAGTGAAGGGAAGAAGGGAACGCGTTAGACTTGAGTTTTGAGTTGACGAACGAAAATAATTTTTTGCGATTATTACGGAAATTTGTACCACATTGGGAAAGATATACGTTATAACATTTCGTATTGACCGTAAGAAATTGAGAGCGAAATTAAGAATATTGTGCAAAGACAGACCAAGAAGAGCCGAGATTTTGTATACCCGGTACTCGAAGAGTAAATAGGGTATATTGTATTTGTGCACAAAGTGAATGTATGTAACACACAGAAGGAAACGTTTCCGACCCCATAAAGTATATATATACTTGATCAGCAACAATAGACGAGTCGACTGAGCCATGTCTGTCTGTCCGTCCGTCTGTCCGTCTTGTTAAGCGCCTGGATCTCAGAAACCATAAAAACTTCTGTATGCTCACACTGTTACAAGTGTACTTCAAAAATTTACCACGCCCTCTTCCGTCCCCGCAAAAGGGCGAAAACCTCCCAAATCTACAATTTTTAAGATAAAAAAAAACTAAAAACGCTATTCCGTAGGGAATGGCCATATCTATCAGATCACCAAATTGGGTTCCGATTGGATCATTATTATAGCCACAATAAAGATATTAATTTGCAGTGGCTAAACCCACCCAGTCCCGCATCTTTTGTTGTTATTTTTACATTCTCTCATTCACACTCTGCTTCTGCTTCACTCGGCCCCTGCCTCTTCCGACTTTTAACCCACCCGGTCCCGCAGCTTATATTTGTTTTTTTTGTGTGCGGGCACTGCCTCTGCCGCGAGTCTGCAGTGTGTGGGTCTAGGGAGGGCGGCGAGCTAACGGAGCGTGTTGGTGTGAGTAGTGTTGTAGATGTATATGACAGATGAAGAAAATATGTTAAATTTGACAAAACACCGCTAAGGTGCACAATTATTACGGAGTGCCGGGTATAAAAGTTGTGACGCGTAAGAAGCATCTCACACGTCCCTTCTCGTTATTTTTTAGGTAAGACAGATACTTGGAATAGCACGGAGGCTTAGAGGAAACAAATACGGTGACTTCAGGGACGTGGGTATCGAGGGCAGAGTATAATGTTTCGTAAAACATATTGACAGTAGGCTCTATATGTTATGAGGACTAAAGAAAGGACCAATCAACTTGCGAGAGATGTAGACAAAGGTCAATAAAATTAGCTTTGCGAAAACACTTTATACGACTTTTTGAAGGTAAAATGGTGTTAGTAATAGAGACCTCCAAAAATATAGATAAAGTGGGATGATGCGAATCTTGGGGAAAATATATCGGATTGCCTCTTAAAACCGTTGTACGAGAGGCATTGCTGACAAATATGCGATCTAACAGTCTATCTCTATTATTTCTGCACTGCTCATAGACCTCATCTATTGGTCATATTTGGTCTTCCGGAGCCTCTTCCATCATTGCCACCGAACAGGACTCAAACTCTGCAGCCAACTTTGCCCACAAGTTCTGCCATTGGTCTCTGCGGACCTGAGAGATCTTAGAGGATGCTGTGCTGGTCGCGGGGGTGGTGAGCCGTGCTTCCATTGTGGTGCGCATATCGATGGCTGCCACAAACTTCGCCCGTGCGGAGGTGACGGATGACTGGACCATTGGAAAGGTGTGGCAGAATAGTAGTAGTAGCAGAAGAGTAGCAGAATAAAAGGACATTATAATTCAGACACATCTCTGACTCCTCTCTGACACTCACTCTCTTGTCCGCCCATCAGTTAGATCCTCTAAAGATCTAAAGATTGATCTTAAGATCAATCAGCAAGCAGCGTTCCAATTCGTTCGCAGCTACTTTAAAAATGTAATTTAATAGGCCAATGAAATTCATTAAATATACCATTATACCATACCGATATACCGTAAATATACAATGAACCCAATTTCGTGATCAAAATATCCTAAAAAGTATATAATATACCTTAAATGGTCGTGCCCGATCCATTGCTTTTGGCTCATATCGATGGCTGATATATCGAGAGAGCCCGTTTTCACATGCCATATTATTGGCAATGCTCAACACTGAATATCGATAGCACACAATGCGTGTATCGATGTGCTTACTTTTTTATCAGCCATCCCTAACACTTGATGCTTGTCAAAAAAAAAAGCATCTGAATAAAAGGTTGAATTAAACCACCAGCGAGAAGAAAGGGAATGTAAGTACGCTCTACAATTAAGTTTTTCGGTTGATAGAATGTGGCAATTCGAACAGTCTACGAACAGTCTACCTGTGGCCTTGCCACAGACATTTGGCCGGTCCAAAATCTAATTGAAATCTCTATTCTCAGACAATGGATGATAGGCGTCGTGAGGACTTTGAGAAAGCTTTAAGCGTGCTCGAAAACCGGCACCCAGGGGAGCAGCGGCCGCCACGGTGCGAGCCCAGAGTGCAGCCGGTAAATGGAATTGTGCAGCCCCCGGTGATGCCGCCACCCAATCGTAAGGGAAGGGTAACCAATTTCTTGTTAAAACTGAGAACCGCTGTGAATGCGTTGTCGCGCAACCCTTCCTCGCTGCACTTTCGCCATCCTGTCGATACCGTGAAGCTGAAGATCAGGGACTACCACGAAAAAATCGCAAACCCCATGGACTTGAACACAATCAAGAAAAGATTTGAGTACACATACTACTGGGGCGGTGCAGACGTCCTGGAAGACATTCTATTGATTTTCGAAAACTGCAGAGTCTACAACAGTCCGGACTCGCCCGTGTTTAAAGCTGCTGTCAACCTGTGCGAGTGCTTTTGGCTGCGCATGGCGAAAATGCAGCAGGAATTGCACAATGAGTGTAGGGCTGAGGCCAAGACCAGGCGTCCGCGGAAGGCAGCCATTTCAAAAACCTCTCCATTGCCGAAGACCCCGCGCCAGGAAAAGGCTGTCATTCCAATGAATACCAAGGTGGAAATCAAGAATGGAAATCAGCCAAAGGCAGACGATCCACTGCCTTCATTTGAGGCCGTTCCCAATCTACNGATGACAGATGAAGAAAAAAAGTAAAATTTGACAAATAACCGCTAAGGTGCAGATGTAGTACTGAGTGCCGGGTATAAAAGTTGTGACGAGAAAGAAGCGTCTCACACATCCCTTCTCGTTCTTCTTTTTTTTCTATTGCTGGAAGAGATAAAGCTTCCATTGCGAAGCCTCTTTTCCATCTTTAAGGATTCCTTATAGTATGCCTTGAACAAGGACTCACCAGACTGACTAACTTGTCTCTCACTCACTCTAAAAACTGTACAGTTCAAGACAGAAATACAATATACAAAGAACAGAGAACAAACTCCAAAAATGAAACGAGAGCCACTGAAAGACATTACCAACGTGCAAACGGATAAGAAAATGACCCAACAGAACACCAAAAATGGGCAACCAGCCCGCAGATGCTTCGAGATCTTTAGAGGATCTAACTGATGGGCGGACCAGAGAGTGAGTGTCAGAGAGGAGTCCGAATAGTATTATCATGTTCATGGTTATTTTGGAAATCTGCAGAACTCACACAGAATAGAGAAACACACAAAAGACACAATCTTAAACCACAAGAAATAAACGACGAATTTAATTTTTATTGGGGTGGGTTGTGTACGTGTCGATCGGACATTGCAATTATTTTTGAATATTTAATATGCATATATGCACATATATATGTATGTATTAACTTGTTAGTAATTTTCTATTTGTTTCGCCTGTTCTTCCATTCTTTACGATTTCTTTTAGGTCTGTCCTTTTTTAACATGCTTTCCTCCTCCCTTTTCCTCCTTTTCGTCATCAGATAACCGTTCCGGAGTGTTCCAGATCCTGACTGTTACTGATAGTGGCATGCCTCCTTAAAGTACTCGTACGATTTGATATGTTCAAGAGGGTGTTGAGTCTGAGCAACCTGTTTTCCAAATATTCCGTCATAACCTGCCGTTCATCATCTGTCATAAGTTGCAGCAATACAGAATCGTTGCGTCTGCGTTGAAGGAGAGCCTCATTTAATATGGATATAACTTTGGGGGAGAATTTCGTTATGCTTAAGTCCATTCTGCCTTTTTTCATAGTGACTGACACATTATGTTGCAACGCTATATGCATGACAGTCTGCAGCTCATGCGATGTCAAATCATCCACGTTGCTGTCCCACAACTGACAGTTGCATTCATTGCTGCAGTCACCAAGAGTATCAACATAGATACTTATATCGGGTGGCTGAAGGTAGTGCATCAGCTGCGTTTTGCTCAGAATTTGTGTGATTATCCGCAATGAATCATCCTCTTCATAGGGCTCTGTCTAAACATCCGTAGGATCAGCGACAAGCTCTGGTGTCACATGCACACACACATTCATAGGCTATGTTGGAGTCGGCTCTGTGCTATTTAACTGCCACCAGGGAAAATTTTGGAGGGACTTGACCGTCATCTTGGAATCCTTATTGATCTCCAACTCCTGGCCCTCTGGCATTTTCGACACCTTGTTCTCCACGAATTTTTGCAACTTGATTGCCAGGCCGGCACACAATTGCACTTTCCCTCTTCAACGAAAGCCAATTCTGATGGACAAGTTTGAGATCGAAAATCAGTTCATCTACATTTCGATAGCGCCGTTTCTGCACACGAATAATGATTGTGCCCAGGTCCATGGGATTTTTGAGTCCCGCAATATCTCGGTTTCTTCTGTCCATGGGCAGCATAAAAACTTGTGCATATTGCTTCATTGTTACCTTTTCGAGGATCTGCTTTTTGACATAGTGAATTTTATTGGTGTATGTACCGGTTGTAGGAGCCTACACATGTAACGACGGGGTATCGTGGGGGACACATATTAAATTTAAATGTACTCACAAAAAAGGTGTAGTCTTACCATTGCTTAAGAAGATTGATGTTATTGATTTTATTAGAGTTGATTGCAGAATCAAGTTATTCAGAATAAACTTTCTCGTATTTTTAGAGACCGAATCTTTTTTCACATCTTGCAAATTTTCGATTAAGCACTCAAAAAAATATGCCTGTCATTATGTCCTAGAGATGCGAAAGCAACGATTCGCTTCCAAGGCAACTCAACACAAAACAAAACACGATGTAAGCTTTTCCAACACTAGAAAACATCGAATGGGGAATGGCTTCAACACTTGCTAAAAACTAGACGGATAAGTCCTTTCCATCCCTAGCAAAGATAATGAACAATCAAGTAGGGCTTTTAGCTATGATTTCTGAATTTAAAGTGTAATAACCGAATTGGAAAGGATGCTAAGGTCGAAAGGAAGGAGTAAAGCGGAAGAAGCTGTACATTTGGGCAATGAGGCAGCTTTTTATTTATTTTAATTAACAATTATCTGCAAATTCTGCGATGGTGTAAAGAGGGTAGGTTCAGTAGTTTTAGCCTAGATAGGTATGGTGGAAGGAGTCTCTTAGAGTCCCAGTTTAGATTTCTAAGGGCGAATATTAAAAATTGTTTTTGATCGGATTCAATAATTATTTGTTGCTTCTTGTATTGTGGACTCCACACACAAGAACAATACTCCAATATCGGGCGAACCAACGAGACGTACAGTGTTTTAGTTATATATGGATCGTCAAACTCTTTTGACCAACGCTTAATAAACGAAAGAACTCCCTTAGCTTTGTTAACAGTTGAAGCAATATAGCTATTAAAACATAGCTTGTGATCAAATAGGACTCCAAAGTCATTTGATGTGGAGATTCGATCCAGAGCATGGTGTCCTAGAGAATAGGAGACAAAATGTGGGGCACGGCGGTAAAAAGTCATAAGTTTGCACTTGGAATGGTTCAGGAAAAGTAGGTTATTCGAACACCAAATGCTTAATTCATCAAGGTCAAGGCCAGGGATAAATTAAATAAGAAGGTCAAAGGATGAGATAGGGCTTTAGCGCAATATTTTAAAATACAGCTCGGAACTTTATCTGGACCCGCAGAGAAACAGATGTCAATTGATGAAAGCCAGCACTTTCTTCAAGGAAGCGAAGAAACACGTTTTTAACATGAGGTAGATAGTATGGATAAGGGGTGAAGAAGTCATAAGTATCCAAGGAGTACGTCGATTGAAAGAAGGTGGCAAATAAATTTGAATTCCTTGATCTGAAGTTTCTGTTTTAGACTGTAAGTGAAGGGAAGAAGGGAACGCGTTAGACTTGCGTTTTGAGTTGACGAACGAAAATAATTTTTTGGGAAGAGCGAAAGTAAGAATATTGTGCAAAGACAGACCAAGAACCAGTTATCTAGTACTTTTTGTAGAGCCGAGATTTTGTATACCCGGTACTCGAAGAGTAAATAGGGTATATTGTATTTGTGCACAAAGTGAATGTATGTAACACACAGAAGGAAACGTTTCCGACCCCATAAAGTATATATATTCTTGATCAGCAACAATAGACGAGTCGACTGAGCCATGTCTGTCTGTCCGTCCGTCTGTCCGTCTTGTTAAGCGCCTGGATCTCAGAGACCGTAGAAGCTAGAGCCACCAAATTTTGCAACCAGACTTCTGTATGCTCACACTGTTACAAGTGTACTTCAGAAATTAACCACGCTCTCTTCCGTCCCCGCAAAAGGGCGAAAACCTCCCAAATCTACAATTTTTAAGACAAAAGAAAACTAAAAACGCCATTCCGTAGAGAATGGCCATATCTATCAGATCATTAAATTGGGTTCCGATTGGATCATTATTATAGCCAGAATGAAGATATTAATTTGCAGTGGCTAAACCCACCCAGTCCCGCAGCTTTTGTTGTTCTTTTTACATTCTCTTATTCACCCTCTGCTTCTGCTTCACTCGGCCCCTGCCTCACCCTCCTGCCTGCCCCACCCCGTCCCACAGCTTATATTTTTGTTTTTTTTTTTGTGTGCGGGCACTGCCTCTGCCGCGAGTCTGCAGTGTGTGGGTCTAGGGAGGGCGGCGAGCTAACGGAGCGTGTTGGTGTGAGTAGTGTTGTAGATGTATATGACAGATGAAGAAAATATGTTAAATTTGACAAAACACCGCTAAGGTGCACAATTAGTACTGAGTGCCGGGTATAAAAGTTGTGACGCGTAAGAAGCATCTCACACGTCCCTTCTCGTTATTTTTTAGGTAAGACAGATACTTGGAATAGCACGGAGGCTTAGAGGAAACAAATACGGTGACTTCAGGGACGTGGGTATCGAGGGCAGAGTATAATGTTTCGTAAAACATATTGACAGTAGGCTCTATATGTTATGAGGACTAAAGAAAGGACCAATCAACTTGCGAGAGAGACTTGCGAGTTTTGCGAAAACACTTTATACGACTTTTTGAAGGTAAAATGGTGTTAGTAATAGAGACCTCCAAAAATATAGATAAAGTGGGATAATGCGAATCTTGGGGAAAATATATCGGATTGCCTCTTAAAACCGTTGTACGAGAGGCATTGCTGACAAAGATGCGATCTAACAGTCTATCTCTATTATTTCTGCACTGCTCATAGCCCTCATATTTTGGTCATATTTGATCTTCCATCATTGCCACCGAACAGGACTCAAACTCTGCATCCACCTTTGCCCACAAGTTCTGCCATTGGTCTCGGTGGACCTGAGAGATCTTAGAGGATGCTGTGCTGGTCCCGGGGGTGGTGAGCCGTGCTTCCATTGTGGTCCGCCTATCGATGGCTGCCACAAACTTCGCCCGTGCGGAGGTGACGGATGACTGGACCATTGGAAAGGTGTGGCAGAATAGTAGTAGTAGCAGAAGAGTAGCAGAATAAAAGGACATTATAATTCAGACACATCTCTGACTCCTCTCTGACACTCACTCTCTTGTCCGCCCATCAGTTAGATACTCTAAAGATCTAAAGATAGATCTGAAGATCAATCAGCAAGCAGCGTTCCAATTCGTTCGCAGGTACTTTAAACATGGAATTTAATAGGCCAATGAAATTCATTAAATATACCATTATACCATACCGATATACCGTAAATATACAATGAACCCAATTTCGTGATCAAAATATCCTAAAAAGTATATAATATACCTTAAATGGTCGTGCCCGATCC